CTAACTCAGTAATTTCCACCATATTTTAAACATGCTCATATATTTTAAATGTTTAAATTAAACTGATTCTACGATGTGATGATGCTGAAGCTATTTCAACACATACATTAAAATATGAATATTTAAATCAAATCAAATGGAAGCAAATAGTTAATAATAAGCTTTGGACTGAAATAAGTCTTAGACCACCTGTTTCATTAATTACATTAGTTACATTTATTAGTTCATGTTTATGTTCAAGCTGTGTAGTCCAAATGGATAGGGATTTTTTTTATGCAGTTCAAATGCTTATTTCTTAAATTTAGGCCTAAATATTTTTGAGAGGTATACGAAAATAAAATAAGGTCATGTCCTATGCATATTAATTCTGATGCTATAAAAAGGTTTGTATGAAATTAAATGAGGTCAACACTCCTCAATTTGACCTGGAATCCCACAGCAGTCGCTCAGTGTTGTGGAGGTGAAGGGCATCAGGTCCAGGGAAATCTCCATCTCTCCCTCCTGCTGCTCTAGGGCGGGCAGCAGCACGTTCCTCTGGATACGAGACGAATCGGACACGACCGAAACCTTGTCAAAAGGTAAGTCCACGTGCTCGCCATGACCTGGGACCAGAACCAGGCACTGGGGGTTGGAAGCGCCTTGCGCGTCCTTGTGGAGCTGAGTGGTGTCGTGATGGTAGGACACCAGCTCGTTGGTGAAGTTCACTGTCTCCACAGCAGAAGATGCGCAGAGTCGATTGCAACCCAGAATAGTGGTGAAGGCTTTGCGGAAATCCGCGTTGAACGCGTAGATGACCGGGTTGAGCGATGAATTGGCCCATCCGAACCACACGAAGATGTTAAAAGTGGTGCTGCTCACGCACAGAGAGTCTCCAAGAGTGTCCAGGTCACAGAACGGCACGATGCAGTTGAGGACGAAAAAGGGCAGCCAGCAGAACACAAACACCCCCATGATGATGGAAAGCGTTTTTAACACCTTAGTTTCTTTCTTAAACGTGGTTTTCAGCGACTGCTCGCTCGCGCAGTCGTGCATGTGCCCGGCCGCCCTCTCCAAAGTGGAGATCCTCCGGATCTGCGTTTGCGCGATCCGGTAGATCCGCGTATATGTTCCTATCATGATTATAACAGGGATGTAAAAGCTTATTAGTGAAGATGCAATAGCATAAGTCCTGTTTAAAGTCGCAGTGCAGTCCTCCGAACTGAAAGTGAGGTTTAAGGACGCGTTATGATCCTCAGCCCTGTGCCAGTTCAGTCTGACCGGAATGAAAGAGATCAGGACGGAAAGTGTCCACGCCATCCCGATCATTATAAACGCTATCCTCTGGGTCATTTTACGCTCGTAACGGAACGGGCTTGAGATGGCCCAGTATCTGTCCAAACTGATGATGCACAGGTTGAGTATAGACGCCGTTGAGCACATGATATCAAAAGCTATCCAAGTGTCACAAAAGCTCCCGAAGAGCCAGCAGCCGGCCACCTCAGAGACAGCCTTCCACGGCATGACCAGAACAGCCACGAAGAGATCCGAAACTGCTAGGGATATGACGAAGAAATTAGTGACTTTGGATCGGAGGTGTCTGAATTTGATGACAGCGGCGCACACCAGCGTGTTCCCCAGCAGCGTGGAGAGGATGAGCGCGCAGAGAGCGCAGCCCGTCAGCGCGCGGACACCCACACCGGAGCTGTCTCTTTCAGCACCATCGCTCTCCATGGGGCTTCCTCTGGACCCAGATCTGATAGATCATATTCAAGTGGCTCCTCACGTCACAGTTTCTCCGTTTTCCAGTGAAGCTCTTTTCCGAAAGGTCTCGATGTCTTCTTTCTGCAAAGTGCCACCGTTCTCCGCGTAAGAGGGAATAAAGGGGCAGCGCTCTCTCTGCTGGAAATGTTGAGTCTGCCACAGAGAGAGAGAGAGAGAGAGAGAGAGAGAGAGAGAGAAGTACGACATAACTGAGAGTGAGTGCGCTCACTGAGTTAATGAAAATTCTAAAAGAAATAGAAAGCATCTCTACCTCAATTACAACATGGTTCTATCTATCTATCTATCTATCTATCTATCTATCTATCTATCTATCTATCTGTCTATCTATCTATCTATCTATCTATCTATCTATCTATCTATCTATCTATCTATCTATCTGTCTATCTATCTGTCTGTCTGTCTGTCTGTCTGTCTGTCTGTGTATCTATCTATCTTATGGAAAATGGCTCGTTGTAGCTATTCCTCAACTATAAGTCGCTTTGGATAAAAGTGTCTGCCAAATGAATAAATCTATCTATCTATAGATCAATCTAAAATTCTGTGCTCCAAACTCAAATTGATCATTGTATTTTTGTAGTTGTAGTGTGAACAAATGAACACAATGACATCACATTAGAATACATCAAGTGAAAGTAGATTTTATAAATGTCAAGCAAGCTGTCGCACGGTTTATATAGTTCATAATAGATATAATAGTTCATTTGTGTATTTTAGCTTTTACAAGTTTGCTTTTTCATGAGTTATTTTGTGTTTCACAATAGCTTTTTGCATAAACACTATGTTGCAGTAAATGTTTTTCATATATATATATATATATATATATATATATATATATATATATTTTTTTTTTTTTTTTTTTTTTTTACTTTAAAAAAGTTATTTTTATAACATTAAAAAAATCATTGGTCCTTGTAATTGATCTTTAAATTGTATTTATTTATTTACTTTCTCCTACTGTCTTTCCTTTAATGTTTTTGAAACAGATGCTAATTTTCTTATTTATTCCTTATATTTTTTTTTTTTCTTTTTTAATAATTTTTTTTTTTGTCTTAAATGAAAAATTACTAGTTTCGACCTGCTGTGAACAGATGTATTTGTATGTGCAATTTAAAGTTGAGAAGCACAATTGAATGTGAGATTAACAAATAATTCTGCAGTTGTGCAATCATTTGATCTGCGCGTGTCTACTGTGTCTGTGCAGTACATTATTTCTATGTGCAGCCTGCGTCATCTAAATGCATGTAGTTGAATATGTCCAGCAGGGGGCGCGTGGATTCTCCTCTCAGTAACGCGTCGAAGGACGTCACTGGAATTTCAAGATGGCTTCGGATCGCGTTCAGGATACGCTCAGCTGCCGGTCTGAAACGGGAAAGCGTTGATGGTCTGTTAACTCACGATATTTGCGTACTCTTAATATTTACCCTGTTAATATGTCGGAGGACGGTCTGAATATGTGTCATGATGAAAGAAGAGCGGAGTACAACACTGAACTGCAGCGCTTCGGCTGTCAAACCACAAGAGATGGAAAAGACTGAGGATGAGCCTGAACATACATGTTTCCATCATATGAGAGCTAGCAACAATCCTCACTGGATAATTTAAGAGTACAGTAGAGGTCATTTGTGCCGCTCTCAGGAATTGGGCTGCGGCCGATGGGTATGTACAGGATGTACTTGCTGATATATTATAATGCGTTTTGACAGTAACGCATAATCTGTGTCTCAAACTTTGAGCTGGCTGCTTAGACAGCATTTATAGGCTTTTTACACGCGTTGAATGTTCTGAATTTAATTTTTATTCAGACGCGCCTGGCATGCCTCAAAATGCTGAATCAAACGTTCCGAACTTGATGATGCTCGCTTCATCTAAAGCTGAATCGAATGTTGGATTCAAACGCTACAAACCTGACCAAAATACTACATCGAATGTTTGGTAATGTTCCAAACGCGGTTATGATGCCCTAAAAGTAACGTTAAATAGAATATTCTTAAATATTGGATGTACCAATTCAACGTTATAAATGAATAAATGCAACAAAATGTTGAATTATATTTTCCAATAGTGCTGGGCGGTATGACCAAAAATTTATATCACGGTATTTTTCAAAATTATACCGGTTTCACGGTATATCACGGTTTCTTTTTTTCATGCATGACCGGGTGTCAACCATATTTTCTACTGATTGAGAGGAAATACTGCAGTATATTGACTTAGAATGCCCTATTTTACTGTCATGATGAGTGAATATTGTCAAAAAATACCACACTAAATAGTGACTAAACACTAGGGATGCACGATATATCGGCCACCATATCGGTATCAGCCGATAAATGATCATTTTTCCTGTTATCGGTATCGGCCTGATAAGAAAATTTGGCCGATATCTTAAAGCCGATAAATAATGCATTATTTCCTTCAGAGACACTTCAGATGCGCTATGCAGTTGTTTTGGCTATATTACTTTTTTGTCTCATGCAGCGCACTGCGCATCTGAGTAACAAACTAAAAAAAACAACAGACAAAAAAAGTGCATGTGATATTAACAGACGAACTACGCTCATATTTATAATTCCAAACAATCAGTAAGCAACAGGTGCTAGGAAACGCTGTTTTGTACTCATTTATTGACGAGTCGGCTGCGGTGCTTCTCTGCCGCTCACTGCACAGAACAGACGCCGAGAGAGGCGACACTTCTCCGGGAAAGTCAGACCTCGCGCTCACGGGACAGCACTGGCGAAATCTTCTAACTGAACCATAGCTAAGGTTTATACAATAAAGTCACTTGGTTTGTCAGTATGAATGTTCTATGGAAAAAAGCCGCTAAAAGGGTCTGAAAGTTGCTAAATCTAGTGCTAAAGTCGCGCTCGTGTGTGTGAGACGCGGGAGCTGATGGCAGGGGGCGCTGGATATTTGTGGAGGTCAATGTGGGTATTGTGGATGAGTTCTTCGGTGTCATTACGTTCTATTAGTTCTACAGCTTCAGTTTCAGTTTTAACGCTTAGTAACTAGGGCTGTGTATCACCAGCAAAGTCACGATACGATACGTATCATGATACAGAAGCCACGATACGTATCACGATACATGACTGCACTGAATTTCACCTCAGCAGAATTTAGTAAAACAGCTGTTTATTAAGCACTGCTTACTATAGTGCCATTTCTAACTATTGGCAGAGCAGCCAGTTGACCTCTGCATTATGAAGGGCCTCCATAACTGTACCACAGTACAATATTGCATTCTGTAGTTTCACCTGTGAAGCTGATGGTGGAGTCATCTTCCTCTGGAGGCAGGGGTGCCGAGGAAGGCATACCACCTCCACGCATCGCAGATGTTATAGACAGGCAGGAGAGCATAATGCAAGGCATGTTCTCCCATACTGGAACATTGCAGGGAGAGAAAGGCCAATTGCAGAGCATCCAGGACCACGACGTTCCAGAGCCATGTGATAAGACCACTACCCAGCCATGTGGCACTAAGCTCCCAAATGGACATGGAGGCCACAGTGCACATAAATTGACTGAGTGGGACGATCCTAACTCATCTCTTCCTGCAGGAAGCTACTTGAATTCAGAGGGCGATCATGTGATTGCAAATGGAGAGCTCTCAGCAGGCTCTAGAGGTGGTGCTTTGGATGCTATTTCTTCTGTGCTACCACCTCAAGATGCAGCTGTAGACAGAACCACCAGCTCGGAAGACTATTTAAATGCCCAAAATGCAGTGTTTAATGACACCAGAAGTTGTTCTGAAGGCGACCCATCTTTGGATAGGAACTCTTCAGCCAGTCGGCATTCTGTAGTTTCACCTGTGAAGCTGATGGTGGAGTCATCTTCCTCTGGAGGCAGGGGTGCCGAGGAAGGCATACCACCTCCACGCATCGCAGATGTTATAGACAGGCAGGAGAGCATAATGCAAGGCATGTTCTCCCATACTGGAACATCGCAGGGAGAGAAAGGCCAATTGCAGAGCATCCAGGACCACGACGTTCCAGAGTCATGTGATAAGACCACTACCCAGCCATGTGGCACTAAGCTCCCAAATGGACATGGAGGCCACAGTGCACATAAATTGACTGAGTGGGACGATCCTAACTCATCTCTTCCTGCAGGAAGCTACTTCAATTCAGAGGGCGATCATGTGATTGCAAATGGAGAGCTCTCAGCAGGCTCTAGAGGTGGTGCTTTGGATGCTATTTCTTCTGTGCTACCACCTCAAGATGCAGCTGTAGACAGAACCACCAGCTCGGAAGACTATTTAAATGCCCAAAATGCAGTGTTTAATGACACCAGAAGTTGTTCTGAAGGCGACCCATCTTTGGATAGGAACTCTTCAGCCAGTCTGTCAACTCCGAAACACTCTCTCAGGACGTTTTCCTCTAGCACTTTCCTCAACACTGACTCTGCTCGTCTCAGTCGGTATGATGATGAGACCTTTTCCACATCAGATAGACCTGATGACTCGATCTTCACGGACGTGAGTCTGAAACCCAGGAACACTTATGAGATCAGTCGGCGTCAGAGTGCTCCAGACAACATCCCTGGTGTGTTAAGTGTTGCTGTCGCAGATCTGACTCTCAGTCAAAGGAAACAGGGCATCTCTGAGATCTTCAACAGGTATTATCATGCTATGCAATTTTGCTTTATAAAAAAAATATTGCTTTAGCTAAATATGAGAAACATAATTCACAGGTACATATTATATTGTGGCTATCAGAAAGAAAATTAGATGATGTAAGAGTTAATGACAAGAGAGTTTATGATAAAGAAACAAAAAAAATGGCATGCCCGTGTATTAATGTCATTGTATATGGTTTATAAAAGTTGTATATATCAAGAAAAGTTAAAAAGTGATAACTTTTTCTTTACACCATGAATACACATCTTAATAGTGCCCCTATTATGCCATTTTTAAGATTCCTAATATTGTTTTGGGAGTCTCCTACAATAGGTTCACATGCATGCAAGATCAAAAAGCGCTTTTGTTTTCTCAAAATATTCATTTGATATCACCTCATTTTCCAATGATTCTCAAACGATTTGTTCAAAGCAGTTCTAAGATTGAGTCTCTCTAAACCCCTCCTTCCCCTGAGCCTACTCTGCTCTGATTGGTCAGATGGCCCAGTCTGTTGTGATTGGTCTACTGCGTAGAGCGCGTGTCGTACACGATACGCCCATTGCCATAGTTGCGTATTTTGAACACTCGATAGAAAATATAAACATCTGTAAACATAATTTATCATACTTACAGGTTGTGATTCAGTGGAGCCAGCTGATCCAAATAAAGTGGGTACTGAGCTCATCTGTCAAGAGCAAGTGTTTAAACAAAACAGAATAAAGTTAATAATAACTATAATATAAATTTTTTTATTTTTATGTTTGTACTGTTCATTTAAAGGGATATTTTGCTCAACAATTAAAATTGTGTGATATACTAATTGTCGTTATTCTAATTCTTTTATTTTAAATATATGTAATATATATATATATATATATTACTATTATTATTATTTTTTTTAAATACAAAGAGATTTTAATAAGCTGTTTTTCATGCAACAAAAGTGGTTGATAATTTATATTTCCAAACTTTAAAAGGAGATAAAAGTGCCATAGAAGTACTCGCCTTTTGTAATCTATTAAATCAACATCCACTTTGACTTTTATTATTATTATTATTATTATTATTATTCGATTTTTCATGGAACAAGGAAAATAATATGACAAGGCGTAAGTAAATGATGATACTAATATTGAATTATTTTTAGCTGGATTATGCCTTTAAATTGTCAGTGTATTATGGTTCAACAAAGAAACTTCTCAAAAGATATTTCTCTTCAAGAATTCAATCCCCTTTTTCAGCACGTAACACTTCAAAAGTAAACAGGTTTTGACAGATTCTGTCTCCTTCCGGTTACTGAGCTGACTGGCTCAGATTTAAACTATGAATTTCCTCATATTTTACAATGCTTGTTAAAGCTCATGCTGTTGAGCCAAAAGAACTGGCTTGTGCACTTGCAGTTATTTTTGTGCATTGTCAGTGCAGAGTTTTCAGGTTTTGACAGATGCTCTGTGATGATATCTTTGGCAGAAGTCTGTTCTCCAGAAAGCAGAGGGAGGCCCACAGTGCACCAGGATGGAAACTGTTTGGAAAGGTCCCACTGAGAGAGAGTCCTCCCAAAGACTCCAAAATCATTCAGCAGGTCTGTTCACACCTAATTCAGATTGAGAGTATCTATAAAACTGTTTTATCAGTATTTTAAATAGCTGTTTGTTGTTTTTCTTTTTCGCTTCTGTGACCATGAAATCAAAATTTACCCTCTTGATAATTTTGCAATTGCTTGAAAGTGTATTAGTCTTTACATTTGTATTAAATTCATTTAGCTGATCTTTACAGTGCTTTTTTAGTAGGACTTATGTAGGGCTGTCACGATTCGTCGATTTTATTAGACTATTCGATTTTTTAAAATCCTCGACTTCATTTTGCTCGCGTCGACTAACCGGCAAAATACCGGAAGTGGCGCATTTCACGGACGAGAATCCATAAAACACATTATTAGACTGTTTCCCAAGGCTGCATGATATATTAAACTCATTTAAAAATCATAATTAAGCATAATTGTGAATTCACAAACGCTACGATTTAATTAAATAATTTTATGCGATGCTGTTCTAATACAGTATATGCGCTTTCATTATTTACATGCGTGTAGGTTAAGTACGTGCGTCACACAGCGGCTCCGTTCACAGTAGTTCCACAGGAACTGTTATCATTTACATGTGTGGAGCGTCTCAAACTCCATCTGTGCATGTTGTTGTGAGTGGGTTTATTATAACGTTCATCTGGGAACGCAACATGCGCCATTTCATCAGATTTGTAAGGTAAATACATCGCGGTTTCAAAATAAAAGCTCAAACCCTCACTCTGAGTTTACACGTTTTGATGTCCACATATTCATTTAATTACAGTGGCTATAGCATTTCTGTCCTAAAGAAATTGCCAAATATTAAAGATTAAGTGGACATTTGAATTAAATGGTGCTTGGTCAATATTAAAAAAGGATTAGATCGCACAGCAATGTGTAAAAACAATAATCAGGCCATTGGTGCCCTCTGCAAGCCTTTGTTGTAATGTGTAATGTACATTAGCTCTATTGTTTATAATACATTATGTACTTTAACAGTTTTGTTCAATAAAACCATATGATTTCTTGCTTTTGATACTTTATTTTAACTAATTATTATTGCCTCATTGCTATTATATATGTATTTTCAGTAATTTTAAAGGCTATTGTTCACTTACATCTATTTTTATTACCACAAAAAAAATTATTATAATTATAGGGCCCTATGAAATCAGATTTATTTCCAAATTCAGTTTTTTTCCATTTGAATTTTTCTATACTCTGTTTTAATGGTTAAATTAAATTGTATTAATCAAAAAGCCTGTCTAATTAATTGAGTTTTACAGTTTTATTTTTACCAAATTCTGTTTTCCATTATTTTCTGGATTTCATTTTAATGGTTCCATTAAATTTTAATAATCAAAAGCATCTCCAATTAATTGATTTTATAAAAAAAAAGAAAAAAAAAAGTTTTTTTTTCAGAAATACTGCACATTTACGTTTTTCTCCTAAATAAATTCTGGTAAATAACAATTCTGGTAAGTACCTTTAAAAGGTGTTTTTTGATTATACATTTTATTATTAGTAGACTAGAACGTGGATATGTTGTCATTCTTACACTATAATACTGAACTTTGATTTCAGTGATTTGGACTATGAGATGGACACTTGCTTCTGCACTCTATATTGCACTTTACTGTTGCTTTAAAAAAAAGGAATTCATAGACATTTGGATTTCATTTGGTTTAATAAAATATTCTTAAGTAAAATAGTTGTTGTTTTTTGTGCGGGAAATTAATCGTTTAGATTAATCGATAAATTAGTCGGTAGATTAATCGAAATAAAAATAGTCGTTAGTGGCAGCCCTAGACTTAAGTGCATCTTTATATATAATTTCATAATTCTATTTTCTTTGGAAAAATAGTGAATAAAGTGTACTGCTGAAAATGCCATGAAAATATATTTAAATATATTTGTAATTACTGTGATGATGAAGTTGCAATTTAGTTATTTAAAATATATTAACTTTTAAATGTAATATTGAATAACACACTACAGTACAGTTAAATTTATAGAATGTTAGTCAACACATCAAGACTATTAAAACAATGACTTAAAATGTACTTCAATGTAAAGCATTTAATTTGACATTATTACAAAGTGCACATTTTGGAAGTGTACTTAAAGTCGGCATGAAACGGAGGTTGCGATTATCTTTTCTTCTCTACTGTGACGTATATCCGAGTGAAACGGAATCTGAAATGAGAGGGCGGGACTTGATTTCGTTCTTCGGGAATTGATTGGATCGTTGGAAGTTGGGGCGTTGCTAACAAAATGGAGGCAGATCTGAATGCCAGTTTGCAGTTAGTGGTGGGGGACACCCAAGCATGAATAAATGTTTTATTTAAGGATGACGATGACGATCAACGGCACAAAACATGCCTAAACGGCGCGCACGCAGAAAGAGAGAGAGACAGAGAGAGAGAGAGACTGCCTGAATGACTGAACACGCGCGTCCTCCATCAGGTTAAGTCATATTCATGAAAAAAATTAGTTTGCGATGTCCTAAGAGTAATGTTGCCATAATATCCTAATATTTTTTCAATGTTTAGGGGTAACGTACTCCCTCATGGCTGGTGTCAGTGCTATAAAGTGAAGCATCAGCTTCAGCTTTTCCCTGTCGTTTATCCCAGCGTTTACCCCTCACGTCACTAGCTCCGCCCTTGCGCCATAGCTCGTGACCGGAAGAGAAGAGGAGTCGTTTTGAGGGGGAGGGGAGGTTAACGTTTTTGATTAAAGATTACGAGGGCACATGAATTAAAAAAAAAAATAATGAAGTGCACGGATAAATTATTTATAATAAACACTACAGTATTCCATTAAAAATAAGAATTTTCATTTTTTATTTCATGGTGACTATAAGTGTGTTCAGGAAAGTGTACTGTCTTTCATTATGGTTAAGTGGCCTTTTATTTAAATAATATGCACATTTAATCCAATTAAGCATGCTTGTTTTTCATAAGGGCTGCTATATATTAATATGAACCATATTTAAATGGAAATAGTGTTGTTTATGAGACAAGCATGATCCAAAAAGAGTGATTCAAATCAAACCGCCTACTGAAGAAAACATCTGTGGCACCTTGCACATATTCTAACAAATTTTACCTTAGTGGATGGAAAATTTACCATCAAAAGTTTTTCTAGCTTAATATTAGAAGTTTATAGAATTTTGGCTTTTTTGTCTCCAAAAACTCCACTGGGTGGAGAAACTGATAAATAATTCCATTGTCATTGAAAAAACATATATTTTATTTATTTATAAAAACATATTTTTTGTAATGCATGTATTTTTAAGAAGAAAAAATTGTTTCAAGGGTAAGAAATAAAACAATATTAATAATATTTTATTTATAAAATGCCTTTCCCAAGCTCAAGGTCACTGTACAAAGAAAAAAATAGTATGAAGACATAGGTTAAAAATGTTCATACATATACATAAGCAAACAACAAAAATAATAGCAAACTAAATAAAAAAACACTAGATAGGTGAGCTGAAAAAACTGTGAGAATAGATAGGTCTGTAGACTAGGGCTGTCAAAATGGCTGAAAAACTCAATTCGAATTTTGTACTTAAATATTATCAAAATTCGAATTATATTCGAATTTAAAATGCATAATTTCAGTTAGGGTGAATAAAAGCGTTTGGATTCTCTCCTGAGGCCACAAGAGGGCGCATCGAGCAAAATATTACTAATGCACGTTTCTTCAAACCATAAGAGAACATGACTATCTGTGAAAAAATGTGCATAACGTTTAAAATAATGTTTATAAACCAATTATAATTAATTAAGTTGCTTAAACAACTATAAACAAAACAGCATAATGTATGTATTCATAGTTTAATACGAAGGGAACGAAAGACAATCACACAGAGTAAATTTTTTCATTTAAAAACACGTGTAGCAGTGGGATGGGGAAAAATCCCCGCCATAAAGTCTCGAGATATGTTTTTTCAAAGTTGAACTTGCGTTAATTTTACATGGCTTTCTAAACATGCGGCTCTTTTGTGCGAGACACGAGTGCAACGGTAATAGATGTCCCTCTAGAAAATGCACGAAATATGCGTTCTGTGTGAACGGCTTGGTTTCAGTTTTGACGTAAACAACATCATCTCCGCATTGATGTTCTCTTTTCCCGCAATATTTTTAATGAGCAACGCAGCACCGCCACATCTAGTGGCTTCAACTGGATAGACTTAACAAAAACATTATAATGCAATGACACTTGCATCGTCATCGCATCTCGTGCGCCTCTGATAAGGCTGCCTCCTTAACGCACACCTAAAATTCGAATGCAACGATTTTGCATTCAAATGTGGATTTTAATTTTAATTTCGACGAATATTCGAAAAAAAAAAAATTTTTGACAGCCCTACTGTAGACCGCTTTTGAAAGGTTCGGGGGGAAAAGTTATTTTTGGACTCTGGAAAAAAACTGTTAAACGGTTCTGCCTTTGGTGCTGTCTAATCTCACCAGACCCCTTTATACAAGTTTCACTTCTGTCGTTTAGGCAAACTACACGACAATACCTTTAAGTTCTCTGAGAGACTGTGTTAGTCTGTGTGCTGAGGCCTGGTCTTCTGTTTGGGTGGCAGCTAGAGTAGGAACTGGGCTGGATCGAGCTCGGCTGCAGTGTGTGGAGTCCAGCTGGCTTCATTTCCATTCAGGATATTAGTCTGTCTGTGTGTTTTTATGAGAAAGCCCGAGAAGGTCGTTGATAGGTTAGCGCATGTTTTAGGGAGTAGAAATGCACATGTCCAATGTTTTTATTTAATGCACGGCCTCACGCTATCTCTGCCCCGCTTATATTCTGTCACGCACACATGGTTCTCTACACGTTCTCATAGATTACTAACAGCCAAACTCCTCATTTCCTTCTGTTTATTGATTTAAACAACACACAAATAAGAAGAAAAACGGATCAAGTCAGAATAAAGCCCATTCAGTAAACAGCAAATCTTGCTGTCACGATTTATCCACCACTAAATCATGTCAGCATAAACGCCGCAAGCACTTTTACCAATGAAACCAGTCAAGTCAGCACAGTTTTGAAGGCCAGGCCATTATTTCTTATCCTCGGGATCTGGTTTATGTACTGTATTTCTCGCATTTTGCTCTCTCTTCAGGAAAGTAACCCAGGCAATCTCACATCTGTATCTACGCCCAATCTCTTAAATTCAGGGGTATGATGTTTGGTTTCTAATTGAACTCTCCTTCATGTCTGTTCTGTGCACAGAGCGGTACGCCTTCACTTCCCATCGGTCATTTCAACCATTCTCACGTCACATGCCTGCTTGACTAGTGCTGTAACATTTGCTGTGTTGAAAGGATAGTGAAATCATTTACTCATCTTTATGTAGGGGTGTGCGATATTGACAAAAAATAATATCACGATATTTTCTGTGATTTTATCGATAGCGATAATCAGATGATATTTTGCTGAGTGTGTTGCGCTGGTACATTAAGGACTGCGGTGGACAGTTGACTCCTAAAGTTTTTGATATTCTTCATATTCTGTGTGGTGATCAGTTCACAGCATTGAGAGAAATTAATCTTGTCCAATAAGTTTAAATTGATTTTTACACTTTATGGGCATTTTTACCTTTATAAAGCCTTTTTTTTTTCTAAAAGTGTGCATTATCTTCAGATTATCATCAGGTTCTTACATTTAATCAATAAAGTCAAATACAATAAGACGTTTTGGCTGTTACAGTATCAACAAAATTCATCTTTGCAATGCAGAGGGAACACAGAAGCTATTTACGCACTGTTTAATGCAGCTCAGAGGGACATGAATGCATTTAACTTGCAGTTACAAATGCATGAATAATGTTTTGATATTTTAAACATAAAACGCTGAATACTGATTTTTGAAAACATTTAAAGGGGTCATGTGATGTTGCTGAAAAGAACATTATTTTGTGTATTTGGTGTAATGAAATGTGTTTATGCGGTTTAAAGTAAAAAAAACACATTATTTTCCACATACTGTACATTATTGTTTCTCCTCTATGCCCCGCCTTTCTGAAACACGTAGATTTTTACAAAGCTCATCGGTCTAAAAAGCGAGGTGTGCTGTGATTGGCCAGCTATCCAGTGCGTTGTGATTGGCCGAATACCTCAAGCGTGTGATGGAAATGTTATGCCTCTACCATACTGTGATGCCCTGTCCGGCCGGAGCTACAAGACAAAAACATTAAAACCCATTATAAACGAGGCATATGTTGCGTCCAGTGGGGACATAATTACGGATTATAATGACTTATACTGTCTTTTTACATTGCATCGCGCCGCGTAAACATAAAACTCTGTCTGCATTTGTGATCAGAGAAATAATGAACAACAAGTGCTACTCTACTGCCCAAAACTCGC